TAGTTGATTCCCACATGGGTTATTTGAGTATTAATTCACTCAAAATTGTGTAACACCTCGAAGAGATAAGACACCTGTGCAAGTCATAAATTGCAAGACACAGCATACCCAGCTGGTCAAAAGAGGTGATGATCCTGCTGTATTTGGTGTTGCTGTCACCCCATCTTGAGTCATGTGTGCAGTTCTGGGTCCCACAATTTAAGAAATATGTTGAGGTGTTCGAATGTATTCAGACAAGGACAACAAAGCTGGTGAAAAAGCTGGAAGAACGTCCTACGAGGAGGACTTTGGGTTTATCTGCTTGGTCTAGTTTGTCAAGCTGGTGAAGGGTCTAGAGAACAAGACCTATAAGGAACAGTTGGGGGATGTGGAGGTGTTCAGCCTGGAGAAAAGGAGGGTCAGGGGAGAACTTACCACTCTCTACAACTACCTAAAAGGAGGCTGTACTGAGGTGGCGATTGGTCTCTCCTCCCAAGTAACAGGCAATAGGACAAGAGGAAATGGCCTCAAGTTGTGTTAGGGGAGGTTCAGATTGGATATTGGGAAAAATTTCTTCACCACAAGGGTTGTCAAGCATTGGAACAGGCTGCCCAAGGAAGGATTTGAGTCACCATCCCTGGAGGTATTTAAAAGATGTGCAGATGTGGCACCTGGGGACATGGTTTAGCGTTGGACTTAGCAGTGATGGATTAATGTTTGGACTCAATACTCCTAGACCTTTTTTTCAACCTAAATGATTCTATGATTCCAGTTTGGAGAAAAAGAGGCTGAGGGGCAATTTGTCTCTCTCTCCACCTTCCTGAGGAGGGGAAGTTGAAAGGGAAGTGTTGAGCTTTTTCTCCCTGGTATCCAGTGCCAGGATGTGTGGGAATAGACCAAAGCTGCACGAGGGGAGGTTTAGACTGGACATTAGGAAGCATTTTTTTACCCAGAGGGTGGTCAAACACTGGAACAGGCTTTCTGGAGTGGTGGTTGATGCTCTGAGCCTGTCAGTGTTTGAGACATTTGTACAATGCCCTTAACAGCATGCTTTAACTTGGTCATCCCTGAACTGATCAGACAGTTGGACTAAATGATCATTATAGGTCTCTTCCAACTGAAACAATCTGTTCTAGTCTGTGCTATTCTATTCTATTCTGGTACATTAAGCAATAGTGAAAACTAAATGGGGTATATGAATTATATGACACAAGCAGTTTTCTAAGACCTCTGTAGACAACCTGCAAGTAAATGTTTCTTTTACCCTTATGTTGGCTCATTTTCTGAGAAATCTGGTGTTACCCAGTGCTAAGGAAACCTTGTCAAATATCTACCAGTGTTAAAAAGAGGAATTTCCTTTACTTAACCTTTTGAGGAACAAGAGGTTAACAGAAAAAGGTAAACTGTAAATCTTTCCAATTTAGAAAGTGGGACCTTTTCAGCAGCATTTTCAAGGAAATCTACTGCAAGAGCGTTCCCAGAATTAAAATGGAAAACCTGACACCTTTAACAATTTCCTGCCACTGTATAACTGTCAGCATTGCATGGATTTTATCAACCCAAACGTTAAGTTTCAATGTTAGGAAACCTTTGCATTCATATGTTTTGGGTTGGTTTTGTACAGTTTTCTTTCCTCTGCAGTCTGAAGACGCTTAGCTGAGGAAAGGCAATACTGTGGGTTTTTTACAAGTTCTTCCTTTCCCCGTGAAACATCATGTACTAAAGATCCGAACAAGAGAGGTTTGGACCACTCCCACGATCCGAAACAGCTCGAATATGTTGCCCTTCATGTCATGTCACTTCCGCAAGGGCTGGTGAAGAAGCATCGGTGTGGCTACTATTTGCCATGCAATGAAATCCAGATGTCATAACAAAAATTAGAGCCCCTCAAAGATGAACATTGTCCTTCTAGGAGTATACAAGTGCCATAAGACCCAGGTAGAAAGCAAAAACCAGTGGCACCCAGTGGTTAAATGCCAGAACCAGGATTAAAATCATGGTTTCTTAACCCCTTGTCTCATGCCCAGTATGCTGTGCTACCCCTGTCTCTGGGGAAAAGTGGAAATTTGGCTTAGCTGCCTGTGCTGAATGTAATTCAAGTTAGAGAGGACTGAGGTGAAGTTACATCTTGTTGGGTTGATCCCACACATGGATGCACACAACTTTTACAAGCTTATCAGCCTAGATAAACTTCTCCTTAAAATTGCAATTTCTCTATTTCTTGGCCTCTCTCTCACATGTCAAAATCAAATCAGCATCACCAAGATCACAAGGAACATTGAGAGTCACCTGCATGGAAAAAGGTCTCAATATTTTACTTCTCCATCCTGTTTATTACAGAAAAAAAGCTGGCTTTCTTCTCCAGAGATGTTCCATGGTATATTATTAGCTTTCTTTAATCACTGTGAAGACACTCACATGCCTGTTTCTCAGCCAGAGATGCTCAGTACACTGAGAGCACTACGTGTTATGATTTGATCAGTTTTAATAACAAAAGCAGCGTAAACATCATAAACTCAACCCACAAAGCACCCCAAAGCACGTACATCACTGCGAGTAGAAAAGCAGATCTAGGGGAAAGGGAGCTCACATGGAAGAAAGAGACTAAGATTACCAAAAATGTTTCCACGGTGCTGTTAATTATTTTATCCTCGCCATCCCCTACAATATGCTGCCTTTAATTTTTTTTTTTTTTTTCCACAACAGAAAGAGCATTTGAGACAGGAGAAGGCATTTGGTTCAGCTGTCCGCTCTCAGCCCTGCAAAACCACAGGGCACCCTCTGTATTTCCACCTCCACCGAGCCGGGGAATGACATCACCTCTGCTCGAGGGGGCTGGCGGGCCAACAAAAATAACTGTTACTGACCAAGAGCGCTGTTGCAGGGAATATTTTTGGAACCATACTCTGCATTCCTCCGAGTCCCCTGCTTCCTAGTCCAAACATATCATGGCCTAAAAATTCCTCACATTTTCTATGCAGTGTTTCCTTTGGGCTCGCACAATGGGGCAGTTCTTCTGCTCAGCAGCGCTAGTGTTCTGGAAAGGGAAGGGGGAAACAAAAAAAGGCTGTCGCACTAAATAACCCTAATGGCAACCACAAGGGCCACAGTGTTATTTTTAGGTCAGAAAAATTATGCAGAAGGCAACAGAGTCACCTCAGATTTACCTTCCTTTCCTTTACTGAACAAAAGGCCAAAGACTTTGGTTATTTCTTCCATGAGGTGGTAAGAGGGACTCACCTATGTTCGTGGTGAAGCCCCAGCTACTTAGTGGGGTTTTGCATGGAAGGAGGAGGCCGGGAGGATGTGGCATCTCCCTCTGACAGCACCTCTGGGACTCTGCAGAGGTAACATAGACCCAAAGCCTCCTCACCTCTATGCTCAGCTGCCCTTCACCGCTAGAGGCACAAAACAACAGAGGCAAGTTCTAGGTTGTGTCTAGGCTGTGCAGACGCCATAGTTTTCCCAGAAGAAAGAGCAGGAGGCCCCCTAACATCCCACCCAGGTGACATTATACCAATCCCTTCCACTCCCATGTCTGTCGGTGTCGTTTTGGAGGCTTTCTACTAGCCAACAAAGGTCTTGGGCAAAATGTGTATACCTAAAAATATTCCAGCCTAGGCTAAGCAATGCAAAAAAACTCTTATTCCTTCCTCATATGCATTTCTACCTTTTTTTTTTTCTCCTTCATTGGAAGAAAGTAATTTTCCTTGCTATCAAGGTAAAAGTCATGGCTAATCTTGCAGGGAGAAGTTACATGTACCTTCCAGTCCCTGTTCCACTTCTTTGTCCCAAGCAGCACTTGTACCCAGTCTTCGTACAAGTTTCTATTTGCATAGAAACAGAGGCTATCAAACAACACGTGCTTCACTGGACAATACTTTGTTTCCTTTTTTAGCTGCCCAGATAAGAAAAAAAATGCAGAGAAGAAACTAGTAGCGAGCAAAAGAGGCCACTTATTCTACCAACGCTCAGCACAAGGTTTAGAAACTCCCCTTGCATTTTTTTACCTCTGTTGCTCCACCAGTCCTTGATCAACTTCATCTGTACAAAGTCTGGGTCTTGCTTTCTGCTGTGCCCTACTCTCCCCACTCACAGTTGGGCCTGGAAGCATGGGTTTTTTAAAAATCCTTATATTTTTAAAGGTATTTAGATTCACTGCATGCCCAAAAGCAGAACAGTTGCCATAAAACTGTTTTCAAACACAGGAAGAGAAAAAGAAAATTCACTCTTTGGGGTGTTATAATTGAGAGTCGAGGAATGGGCTGGGGAAATCAGTATTTAGGTGGAACTAATTAGCAACGACTAAAAGCTAAATGACAATGTAACCCATAGCCCCCTTGTGGGATATTCTAAAATGGCTGTGCATGTCTGAAGCTTTTCAAGGATTTGCATTATCTGCTTGGTCTACTGCTTTCACAGTTCAGATAAATCAGTATTTTCCACCACAGCATTGAGCTTGTTGCTCTGCAGAATAATTCCCCAGCCATACGTTCCAGAGATACAGAAGCACACAAAATATGATCTCTTTTACTAGGCTAATAAAAATCAGAAAGTGTACTATATACATTTTATAGACCTCAAAGGTAGGTCTTCTGTAGGAAGAAACTGGGACTCCAGGCTACTGTCGGCACCGTAACAGGGAGAAAAATATTTATCAGCTGCTTTGGAAAACCCACCAGGCAGAAGGCACCAGCGAAGCAAAATAACGTAAGCGTAAACTTACCTGAAGCCTTCCTCTCTGAGGAGATCTTTCACGTTACGGTTTCAACTTCCAGATTAACGCCTGTAGAGCCACAGGGGGAAAAGGGCCAACCAGCAAGGAAAAATAATTCTCCCCCTTCGAGCCTACCCCGAGCAGGGAACTCTATACGATCAGAATGCAAAGTGCAAGGGGTCCACACCGCTGTGCTGAGCCTGCTCTGCGCCGTGCGTGGGGTCACCGGCCCCTCCGGCTAAGCCGGGCTGGGGGCGTTCAAGGGAGAGAAGGCGCCTGCTCTGTGCAGAAGGTCCTGCTGATTCAGTAGGATGATCCAGGGAACCTATCCATGATCCGCTGCTGAAATGCACTGGCCCTTGAGGTATTGCTGTGACACTGAGCGCTCTGAGGTATGTCAAGCACAGCCCTCATGGCTGTGTTGCTCCTTGCTGAGCTGATGTTTTTATTAAGCTGAATGACTAGGCAAGCGGTGGGAAGGAGGACCCATTGATTGTCAGATTGATGAAAGTGGGAAGAAGCTGAATACTGGAGTTCCAAGGGGGAGGGAGACTGTGCTTCAAGCAGAAGTTGAGCCCCACAGAAGGGGAGCCCAGCAGAGGCAACCTAGAGGTTCAGAGGGGCAGCACTATCAGAGATTTTAAAGATCACCTCAAGGTTGGAAGGAAGACCCCTGCACCAACAATGTGTTTACTTCATTCAACATAGCTCCTGTGTGGTACAAAGCAGAAAGTGACTTCTTCAAAGAGCTTTCTGCAAAATCCAAGTCTGTTTGCTTGTGGACAAAACCTCAGGCCTCACACAGGTACTTCAGTAAATGCCCTGTGTTCTCAAAAAGTTTCTAAAGACACCTGATCCAGTTTGAGATCAGAGGCAAGAACGATGTCATGAGCACAGAACTGAGCAAATGTGTTTTCATGTGCCTTTGCTGAAGGTTCTGAAGGCCTCCTAGGGTTGTTTGGGTCCAGAGTGTTTGGCCACATGGAAACTCCCTCTCCCCAGCTTCATGTCAGTGATCCAGGACTGAGCAGTTTCAGAGGGGGGACACAATGGTTATGCAAATAAAGCCACCCAGAGACCATCACATTTTTTGCTTCTCTAATGACCAAGGAGGTCAGAGACTACGGGGCCAAATGACCATGAGTTTAAGCCAAAAGGTGCTTTTTACTTCCCCCAAGATGACACTTAGTTCAGATTGCACAAAGAAACATGATTCTTGCCAAGATAAGAAAGCTCTTCTTGGCCCTGAGATAAAACCCCAGGGCTTTCAATCTCACCCACCATGGATGTGGACAGCACTCACCACTCACCCCTTCAGCCAAGCCTCAGGGAAGAGATCTGCTGCAAAGGAAGACATATGAGTGTTTGTTGTGAATGGCTTCCACTTATGTAACTTGCGACTAATTTGGGAGTTAGTCCCAAATTCATTAGCTGATTTTCTCTGTTTCTAACAAATGAACAAACAAAATCCCTCCCTGGATTTGTAGAGTGGAAGGAGATTCCAGTAACCTTGAAAGGATTGTGGGAAACAGAGAAAGGAGAAAGTACTGAGACAAAGTTCCCCAAGTGAGATTAACGTAACAAATCAGTATTCTGTCTTCATAGGAGAGAAAGGGAGTCACACAACCAGTTTAACTCAGGTTAATGAGATGAGGAACCCATTCCCACAGTCTAGTGATAAAAAACAGTGGGTGTCTTCAGCCCAGCTCTAGTCCTAGTTTCAGTGCTAAAAGATGGAACAAATTGATCTGGCTCATGACTTTGACATTTGCTCTGCTATCATCATCAGCTCTATCTGATAGGATGACACTGCTTAAGCTATGGTAGCCAGAGGAAATCCAATGCTAAGGAAATGGACATTCATTTAATGTTTATCTAGGATCAGCTCCACCAATGAATTCCAGATGTTGGCTTTAATTGTCGCATTTCTGGTATGTTTAAGCAGCAGGGGTTCGTAAGGCCGATTTGTAAATCAATCTGGCAGACTCATACTGAATCCCATCTCTGCCAGCTTTTCTAAGTCAGAAGATGCTCTTAAAATTTTAAGTACTTAATGTGTCTGCAGTGGAAAAGGAAAGATTTAAAAAAAAAAAATCCCTCCCCCAATGTTTTTCTCCTTTTGCTCCTTCTGTCCCTCATTTCCTCCCTGTAGAACTGAAAGACAGACCATTCCCTTCAGATGAGTCCAATGAATTTTAGCAACCCTAAAGCTAAGGAGGGCAGGTATCGGGATGCAGCCTTGCAACATGGGTGGGGAACCCTGCTCATCATTCACATACATTCCTTCTGACTAACTCCACCAATTTCCCACCAGAACCAATGGCAACTGCGTGCATGGACTACATCCAGCAACAGTGTTCCTGATATTTGAACCTCGAATTTTCATTAAGTGGGGGAAAAAAATTGATTACTGCAACCTTGGGACTCTCTCAGTCCTCAGCTTCCATATTCCTATTAGTTTTTGTTTAACTGGTACAGCAGTTACAGCTCATATCCAGAGGTGGTACAGAAATGGCTTTCCTTATTCTGAATCCCAAAGCATTGTACAAGCTCTGAGTCAGACACCAGCAAACGTTGCAATGGTTTTGTGCTCAACATGACTTCACACATCAGCTGAATGTGTTGGACCAGTATCAGGGGATTGCTTATTGCCACAGCCAACTTATCAGTCAGGCCTTGCTAACAGGAGAGAAAACTATGCTAAAACATAGCTTCAGCCTAAGTATTCTGTTCTGCTGACCAGGGCAGACACTATAGCTCATTAAAATTGTTTTAGAAACCCGTTTTCTCAATTTCCTTTCAAAACACCTGCTTCTGAGAAAGCACCTCAGTATTCAACACATGTGAACCCTACTTACATTTTCCCAGGAATGTGTGCTTAGTACACACATTTTTCAAGAAGTGTCACTGGATGGTTAGGTAAGGTTTCAAAAACTTTCAGCATTGGCAATACTCAACCCATGGAAGTTCATGGGAATTGTTCAGAAGCAGTTGACTCAGCCTCGGCTGACTGCTTTTGAAAAACTCCCCTTCATCCTCCATTTTTAATGGTCCCAGAGATAGTGCTGTAAGTTCAGTTTACCATCCTCCTTTAGCACTACAGGCCTCTAAGTGGGATCTACTTTTTCCCTCACTGAGAACATGAAAAGCATTTCACTCATGGCCTGAGTCATGCCACATTTGAAGACAGGCCTGAGAAAAGCAGTGGCTAAAAATCCACCCACTACTTTACACTCTGAGCAGAGACCAAGGTATCAAAAAAGAACTGGCTGTATCATCTCACTTTAGTAGTGGTTTAGCATTTGAAGCTAGAGAAGAAACCCCACTGCATTACAATAGAAAATCCCCAAAACCAGGCAGGATGAAGTAAGCAGTCTTGAAAATACCTTCCAAGTTCATTGGATCATAACTAAGCAAGGCCCAAAAGCAATGCCCTCCCCAAAAGTTAAATCATAATCATTGCACATCCTGCAGAGTGCTGGGGAGGCACCAGGTGTCCATGACACATCTGAAATATAAAAAGGCATGTCAGAACTCCATAAGGTAATAAACAAACTGGTTATTTCCCCACAGCAAACATGCTCCCTGTGCTAAGAGTCAAAAAAGCTGGTGCAGTGCTCCAGGGATGTAGCTGTCATAAGAAAAGCAAAACCAAAAGCACTCTTACAAAAAGGCTGCAGGGAAAGAACAGGAATGACATGCAGGCAACTTGTTGACTTTTATTCCTCACATCTGAAACTACTTCTGTGGTCCATAGCATATGAGTGAAGATGAACAGATTTGGCCCAAAACATAAAAGAGTGCTTTCTCCAAGTACCATGTAAGAAGAATCTAGGGAAACTTTTAAAGAGTTTCCCCCTCAGGATAAGCCAACATGGCCTTGGAAGAACAGAGATGTCACAGGATCTGCAGTATTTCCTCCCTTGATGCAGATGCTAAAGGGTAGCAAAAATGTCACTTGTGAGCAGTCAGTCCAGCATGCAGCCTGTCCTCCTGTTAAGTGTGGAGCTTTGAACACAAGCAGGACCAAAAATTCCTAAGAAAAGCTAACACAGGTCAAACAAACGAATAGCAATAACCACATATAAGGCATAATTTCTGTATTTAAGGTTTAACAGTTTAATTTATAGTTGAGTACGTCCATGACCCGGCTTTTGCCTAGAACAAGGGTAAAACGTATCCAAATCATTCCTGGCAAAGGGATCTGAAATACAGATGAGTGCTGACAGTACTGAGGATGTTGAGTGGCCAAATTCCTTTCTGATGCAATTCCACCAATCTAGCCCTGAAAGCTGTTGCCCTTTTGTCTGTTTATCATGGCAAGGTCTCAAGGGGCCACCACAAAATTCTCCATAATTATCCAAGGACAGAGCACCCAATGAACCACTTCATTTTTCTGAAGGTCACATAGACGTGTTTTTAAAATGGCCATGATTGGAGTTTTTCAGACACCTCCCTAGAGGCTCTGAAAACCATCCCAGAGGAAATAGGGTGAGGGAGTTCCTAAAGACAAAGCCAATCAGTCCACTAATGTGAGCAAGACATGGTTTGCATGTCAGAAGCAAGTCTGTCAGGGTGGGAGGGGCACACCCAGCACCTTGCTAGCATTTCAAGCCAAAGACACAGACCAGCTTCTCAAAATTCAACACTATTCACTTCCCAGAAGTAATGGCTACTGCATCTTCCAAGCCTCCTTGAAGGAAAGGGATTAACAAAACCACACTCAAAACAAAGCAGCTCACAAGAGACCTTGGCTGACACAACCCTCTGGACGTCCAGTTCCCACAACTTTCTCCTGGGTTGGAGTTTCTCCTGCCAAAGCACACGCCAGAGCTACCAGGAGAAGCTGAAGTGGGCTTGCAGTTGTCAGGAGACACTGCAAACAGAGCACAAACACTGGGCTGGGCTGTGGGGAGGCGCCATCCTTCTCCTCCATGAGATTCCTGGGATTGTTAGCTGTGAATCCCAGCCCACATCTGAAGTGGGTCCAACTCCCCCAGTTCCCTGCCAGTGATCAAGGAGGACTGTCACCAGCTCTTCCCTCTCCTGCACATTCAACAAAGGTCAGATGAAGATCCTTGTCTACTGCAGTGGAAAGGTCACCATAAGTTATTCTAGTTTGAAAAAAAAAACACAAAACCAACATGCCAACTCACATGGTTTCTCTTTAAGAAGAGAAACATTTAATGTTGGACTGAAGAAAACTCAACAAATAATTTGGTGGTGATGCTTTTTCCAAGTCAAAACAGTTTTGCAATGGAGGATTCAATCCCAAATATTTCAAAGCCCTTTGCTGACAACCAAGCAGAAAACTGACTCAACTCAATAGTTCAACTGATTTGACAACATTTTTCAGGGAAACAATGAATTGGAAGTAAAAAATAAAAGGCAGTAAAAGTCCTATGTATAATTTCAATTGTGTGACAAACTCAGATTTAGTGGCTTGGTTGGCATGAAAAGATCAAAAAACCATCCATATTTTGCATTTTTGCCCTATAACCTTTGTAATGTGTCCGTAAGAAATTAATATACACACACAGGAACAAACATTTCTGTAGCAAGATCAAAGAAAAGAAGAAAAGAAGAAAGACATCAACTGCCTTTGTTGCACTGGATCATTGCAATGGAAAATAAAATAATTTGTTTCCCTTTAATTTACATGAAATATTTTCTGTACAGGCCTGTTAATAATTTAGCTTGTTATTAAACAACAGCATTGTTCTTACTGTTTGTCTCCGTATTGTTTTGCCACTTGCAGTAATTTAAAACAACCCAGAAGAAATCACAGACAGATGCATTGTGCAGAGGACAGATGTGCTGACCCATTACAGCACTTTAACAGCTACACTTGCAAGGTATGTTTATGTTCTTTGCTTTTGCTGCACGTTAAAAGAGGGTTCTCTTTAAAACACTAACTTGAGAGCTGCAAAATACATCATGGGAGTAGAAAGTGAAGGGATAAATTCTGTGTTATCTGATTCCTTTTACTGCTTATTTCTCCCCTCTTTCCCTTGGCTTCAGTGAGAAGAGCAGGTTCCACGTCCCCAGCGCGACCAGCGTAAAACTGACATTTTATGGGTGGAAACAGTCCAAGGATGGTGGCTTATGCTCTTAACATCCTGACATCTCAACCTCTGAAAGCAGCAGTGGCGCTGCTTCCAGTGGCTGCAGAACACCTTAAAAAGCAGCACAAACTGACAATGAAAATAAACTACGGTTGCAGCACTGCTGGAGTCTGGCAGCCCTTAACAAATACGGCAGCGTCTGGGTGTTAAAATACATAAATCTGTCATCATTACCAGGCTAAGGGGTCGTCATCCTATTCACAAAATAAAAGAACTGTGCATAATCAGTAGGGCAGGGAGTTCAGAACAAAGTACGCCTTTTACAAACTCTCAACTGCTGATAGATGGATGTTTGCAAGGGACTTAATGTCTTTAGCAGGGTACGTTTAAGAAGGAGTGTAGGTTTCAGAACTCCTGGGATTAGTACTTTTTTTTCCTCTCCTTTTCCTATTTTATTGCCAAAAAAAGTGTATAATGTAAACACTCAGGCCTTCTGACTATGAAACCCACATTATTATAAAGAAAGAAAAATCAAAGCATTCTAGCACAATGATATTATTCATCAAGCACAACACAGAATATGTTCTTCCTCTCATCAAACAATAATAAATTGGATTTAAAAATAGGTTTATACACTAATTTTCAGAAGTTTTGTTGGGTTTTATTTTCCTTTTTTTCATCTTTTTTCTTAAGGTGGATGCCAAAGACAGCACAGGAAAGGTAGAGAACCAGACCCTACAGGAATGTAAAAATACACCTCCTCAACAACCATACATTTTAACACGCAACCTACCTACATGTATGGATCAAGAAGAAGCACGTGAGCAATTGGTGCTGTGTACGTGCACTTACACATAAAGAAAGAGTCTCCAAAATCAACATTCAAGCTACACCTTATAAACTAGTCCAACTTGGCGCTGCTTTCTCGACAATAAATATTCTTCACTGTGCCTTAATTTACAAGTGTGCCTTTTGTGTATTTCTGAGTTAACTGATACCAAAGGGACTAAAATTTGGCTAAAACCCCACCATCTGTGTTATGTACTGGGCAAACTGAGGACAGCAGAGCTGTGATCAGCGAAAGGGGCACAGTGCTCTGGCACAGACCTCCTGGAGACATTGTGCCCATGGAGCTCAACCCAGCTTCAGTGGTCCTCTGAGTCCAATGAGGCCATGCTAAATCCTTCATCCTCAGCCTGTAGCAAGAAGCAGAGGGATGGAGCACAACTTCCAAGGAAAAACTGTCAGGAGTAGGGGAGGACAGTAGTAGCTGTAGGAAAGTTAACAGAAAGATCCTGCTACTTGGAGAAGATAGTCATCTTCGATGGTTGGCAAGATGGTAGACATCTCAAAACTGCTGATACCCAAGTCTGCAATTAGCTTGATGGTTTCTCATTACTTGGGGTGCTAGTAAAAGACTCTTAACTACTATTCTGCAGTCACAGCAGACCTCGACTGGGAATCTACATCATCTTCTGCAAGCCTGCCTTCCACACACGTACGTATCACCTGCTTGGACCAGGGACTGTCTTGGCTTTACTCACAAATGCAGCCATTTCTAAGCATTAGAGATATGTAGATGTGGGCAAATTGTTGGCCATGCACATCAGCATTGCACTGTCAACAGGATAATTCTGCCCATTGGCTGTAACAAAGACAGCTCTGATTAATAAAGTCAGAGGCAAAAGACGTTTTTAGCCTCAGACAAGCTGACGAGAAAAACCCGACGTACACCACAAACTCGTTGGGATCAGAGGCTAATTCTATTAATATCGTTTAACAGAAGGAAGCCATAAATTTCTCAGATCAAACACAGTTTTAACGTCAGCCTGCCTGGTATTGTGTGTTGCTTTCATTCCCAAACAATATTCGTGCAGTAAACGGAGCTGCAGCTCTCTATTTGCATGGGTGTAGCAGCCACTACACACTCCAAAGCATCTGCAAAGGATTGTGGGCTAAATGCATCCATATGTCCTGCATGCCTCGAATTTACACTGGCTGCAGCTCTGGTTTGCTGCAGTCTGCCACAGGATGGAGTACGGGGGGAAATTATATATCCATACACATATGTATGAATTTCATGCTTACATCCATGGAAAAAAATCTCTTCATTTCCTTTAAATTGTGAACAGGTGTTGTCACCTTCTTAACTTGGCTTCTATGTTACAGCTTCATGAGGGGAAAACAGAGATCTACCCGAAACAGTGAGGCTTTTGTTAGCCAGAAAATGATGTATTGATAAGCATATTGTAAAGTTTGTTATAAAATCAAATGAAACTAATAAAACCTAACAAAGATCTTGTAAAAACTGTGGACATTATACAGCATTAGCACTGAGTTACATTATAGATCTGGACTTGGAAGAAACAAGACTGCTGCCTGGTTGTGATATTTTCCAGGGTTTTATACCCATTCACCAAGACCATCAGTCAAACCACTCAGTGCTACGTTTTTGATCAGTCATTTTTAGGATAGTTACAGTTAATACTGGCACTCACATCATCACCTTTTTATAGAGAAATCTTTTCAAGAACAAAATTGTTATGAGCTGTTGTGACATCAGTCTAGTGTAGCAGTCATCAAAATTATGAAAACCATTGAAATTGTTTCTCTGCAGCAATCCAGCAATAGCCACCTTTTCATTTTGGTGTATTTCTTTTTCCTCCTTTCCTCTCCCAGGACAGTGGACATTTTACAGGACTCAACATGCTGTATATATAGGGACAAGGAGTCTGTTGGACTTGGAGTGAGATCCCCCAAATAAGGAGGAAATTAAACATCCCCAAAATTCAGGGGGTAGGAATGCCTGGTTGCATTTAGATTTCTTTTAACATGCTTGTGCTGTCCCTGAGCAACATCAAGCTTGGTCAGGGTGTGTGTCTTTATGCCTACGCTAATAAACACTTGGAAGAAAGAGCCCTTGCTTGGGTGAGGGCATCATTAATCAACCATGAGTCACTTCCAGTGGAAAAGGAGCTTCATTTCCAAGTGAAGAGTTTTTAGCTATGAGCTTGCACCAAGACATGAAAATACATTTTATGTACCAAACATTTCACTGACGCTCATGCCCAGTGCCAGTCTCTTCCCACAGACTGACACACAGGACCCTCACTTGGCAACACCACTAAGACAGGTCTTGTTATGAACCAAAACCATATCTGCACCTCCACAGAGGGTGACCCGGTGGCACCACACCACAAGCTGACAAGGAGTCCTTGTGCAATGATTGCCCTGGGTAGGCCTTGGGTAGGCTCCCCTTTTCTGCTCAGCTCCCAAAGGCCCAAACCAATCTGAGCTTTAATTAGCAACATAACCATTACTAAGCACCAGTGACTATGGCCAGATCCTCATCTGGTGTTAATCACGCTGCGTGTGCACAGGAGGCCACCAACGTAGATCCAGCTGCTGGACTGGGGCCTTAACAAATTAAACACGAGAACTTTGTTACTGTTTATTGTCACAAGGAACTCTTCATTTCCATATAACAACTGACTAATCATCATTAGTCATGATTATGTGTCCTGTGATTGTGTTAATGGTCCTACACTGGATGGACTGCCCTTTGCACTTTGTGTTGAGGTAAATGCACTTAAGACATTTTGCTAACTCCATACCATGACCAGCACAAGCTCTACCACCTTATTCTCAAATGCAAAAACTGCACCTTTTAGTTCTTTTTTTTTAAGTGTTGACTCATTTCAGTTTTTGCTTAGCATTAGCAGACCCTTAGTGCACACATTGCTGACTCAACATTGATTCACATCTTGCTGAGCACATCCCTCTCTGGTCCCCAGAGTTTATTAAGAGGCCAAAACCCAAACATAAATGAATTTGTCATGCTTTTCCAAGATGGCTGGTGGCACCTGACTGGGCTAGAAATGTTTTCTCAGCTTTTGCACTGTAAATGAGTTCTGAGACATGGATTGATGACTTCATTGGAGAAGTGTAATGCAAACCATATTTTACTGTACTTGAATTTTTTTCACACAGTATTTTCTACTACTATGAGCAGAAAAAAGGACATTAGAATAAATATCCATTCAGACATGGCCATGATTTTTTTTTCAGGATACTTATGCTGACTGTTTAAAAAAATGGTTATTTTAATGCAAATTTTTCACACATGCCTGTTATCAAAGAGAGCTGTCTTTGGACAAGCTGTAAAAAAGCATAAAATAGCAGCTGGCTCAGCAGGAAAAAGCTACTTTAAAGATAAATCATCTGATGTCAGGGCAGATTCGCAAAGCAATCTATTGCAACAGACAGACAGCAGACATTAAATAGCAAATTAGTTTGAGATGTCGTTCAAATTCTGAACAGCCCATCAGAGGTTTAGGACAACAGGATGCACTCTTCCTCCTGCTCTCTGTATCAAGACTTTGCTACTCTACAGCCCAAATGGAGGGTCACTCAGAGGGCCAGGCACCAGAGAGAGATATGAACTGGATAGATGACGGATTCTTCACCAAAATCTTCCTCCAAAAACACCAGAAGAAGAGAATAAACAACTGCAGCAGTCGGAGATATAGGGCAAGAAAAAGAAATACTGAAGAAGCTGTTCCTTGGATTTTCACGTTATTTTTCATTTTTTCATTATTTACACGTTATTTTACATTTATTTTTCATGCTGAGATGCACCCAAGCGAGATGTGTCCTTGGCAGTTTACAAACACCAAGTGAAGCAAGAAGGCTACAGTGCAGAGACAATCCCAAACCCTGCTCTTGTTGCTGGTTTGTTGGGGTTTTTTTCTGTGCTACAGAAGGTAATAAGAGTCATGGATGCAGATGTGAAAACAGAGACAGTTTGATCTTTCATCACTTGGTTGAGCAACTGATGCAAGATGAAGTATTTACCAGCAGCACCTGTAGCAATAGCCCTGCATGTTGTAATGCTGGCACACCTTGCAGGATTTGGCCCATAACGCTTCTGCAAGAGAAAAGTCCTCTGTGTTGTGCATTACTGAAAGAGGTCATTGTGCTACAGCATAAATATTTACCTATAGTCCTTCCTACAGCTGTTCACCAACACTTTTCCCTTCCGAAAATGTCCAGACCTCTGGAACTAGGGATACTGTTTATTATTGCAGAAGGAGATGGTTACGGACATTCTCGAGCACTTCCATGTTAGAATACTTTGTTTTCTAAGTTATTTATAAGTCAGGAAAATCTCACCCATTTGGGCTAAGATTTCCCAGGGAGGGCTGACGGCTGGAGTGCGTGATGGCTCCATGTGTGCAACCTCACAGTTTCTCCAAGCTGGTCACAGCTCGACAGAGGCTTCAGTTACACCACCACCTGCTATTTTTTTTCCTGCAGAACATGCCTCCATTCAGCACACAAGGTGGATAGTTTTCAAATAAGGAGTAGCTATTCAACACTTTGTTTCTTCCTCTTTGGCCTTAGGTTTCCTTTTAGAACACGCTGGCAAGGAATTTTTTAATTCTGCAGTAAAGAAACCGCAGGTTTCAACCAAGCATAAACGAAATGATGTTACTTTTCACACCTTTAGGTTATAAATCAGCTCTTCTGAATTGATTCAGCTGCAGAAAAACCCCTTAAAAATAAGATATTCACGGGCATCATTGTACATATAATTTTTTGGGAAGGTACAGCACATTTGTTTTGATGAGCTACACATAATTCCCTAAAATAAGGAACCATTGTACTTAATAACTGCAATGTGATTTAATACTGATTAAAGTTACTCTTCCAGCATTTGTACGTCTGCCTGCAGTGTAATTGGCATCCCAAATCTTGTGGTGAGCCACAAAAACTATTAAGGACAGCTAAGAGAGGAAATTGTAGTTTTGACTTATACTGGTAATCTGCTTTTACTGGCTTACATTTCATGCAGGGGTGTATTAGAGCAGGATTCCTTGGATCTTTGGGATCCAGGCCCTGCAGCCTGAGAAGATGGGGAAATAAGCAGGGCAAAAACCAATTGCTACCATCTGGGTTGGCAAAATCTATGTCTGAGAAGGAAGATCAAAAACGTAATATAAGAGAAAACTCCCTCCCAACAGAGCAGTAGGAAGATGCTAAATTAGGAAGAAAAGGCTTTAGTAAGTGTTATGAAGGAGGAATAGTCTTTTATGGTGAGATTTAAGAGGTTTAGACACAACTCAGAGCCACAGCTCGTATTTTATGTGGTCTTGGCCTAATCACCTGGTCTCTCTTTGTCCTAGTTACCATCTGTAAAATCACTGTAATCCGTCTCACCCGCACTTGCAGACTGAGAAGTTCTCCAGCCAGGCAATGAGTAGGCACATCTACCAGACGTGTAGAGGCAGACCTAAGTCTGCTCTGCTCGTGCACTCAGCTGGCTGGTTGCAAGCAAGATCTGTCCTGAAAGCCTCAAAGCAACATCCAAACAGGCTTCTACCTAAATTATTACATCTCACAGAGTCCAACCATGGAGCTCACCTCTGCCATGTCTGCCCCCCCTCAACAATGTTGGTGGATCCACTGCCCTTTTTACTCTTTTGTAAAATGTCACAATATTTGTTGCTTTTCTGTACCATAATGGAATACAGATGTTAATAAGAGTTAAGATTAATAAGAATTACACAGCACTGAATGCAGGCAGAGAGGTTGAAGACTGGTGAATTTAGTCTCACCTCTCTGTAGGATCTTGGGTAAACCATCACCTTATCCTGCTGCAGCCCACATGTATATAGCACAGGGGTGACAAATCCTTACTTGTCAATGGTGTGGCATAGCTCACTTAAAAGCATACAGCATAACTCCAAAACCTTTCAATAAGCTACTGTATATTTTCCAGATATTATTGATTAAATTTACAGAATGTTATCATGTCAATATGAATTTTATTTTTTTTCAAGTCCCAATGTTTAATGAATCCTTTCATGCTATTCTAGATTTAATATCTTAACCACCTTGCCCATGTCTGACACCTGTGTGGTTTTACATGTTTGCTGTTAGCAGTAAAGCTGGAATAAGAGGTTTTTTTCTCCTTTGAAGGACTGGGAGAATAGAGAGGCCATATGGTTCAAAAAGCCACTCTGCCTAATGAAGTTTGTGCTTTCTGGAGCACAAACAAAAAAGCTCCATCAATTTGATCTTCATTGTCAAAACTGACATGCAGTTGGTTTTAAAAGACTGCCTCCTTCTCAAAAATCAACAAGGGATTGATTTTCTCTCAACCAAAAGCATTTTCGCCAAGATGAACACGAGCATCTGGTCAGTGCATTAAGTGTCTGGGTCCTTTGAAAGAATAAGTCAGTGATACCTTGTGTTTACTTGCAGAGCTTGACAAGAAAGACACAAGGGGAACATTTGTTTTCAGGGGAAACTGTTCTAGTGAAAAGCAATTGGTTTGAAATACCACATGAACACAACAGTACCACTGGAGATGAGGGATGTAAGTAATCCATCAAAAATGGTCTGAGCAAGAAGACTGCACAATGGCACACTGTGAGACAAGGAAGGAAGGTGCAAAAGAGTCTAGGAAGTACTGGTTTTTACAACAGGGATGCATGGAGATGAACGATACCTCAGCCCATATGTCTGCCACACTTTTAGGTTAAAGTTATCCTTCTCTTGGCACTTGGTGATCAATATTTGTTTGCATAGGGCTCCATCTCACACCCACAGAGGCCAGTGGGAGTTTGCCATTTCCTTCCAGAGCTGCCTGACGAGGCTCTAAATAACTAGTGTTTGTGCCCAGGGTTTTTCAGTGCCAAATATAATGAACACTATTGTTCTTAACACAATTAAATTTGATAATCCAATTTCCCTGAGCAACTGAATTGAAGTTTTTGTCTCAATCTTTCCTGAATTCTAGTCCAACTTTTACCCTGTGCCTCCTGGCTTTTCCCTTTCATTTGCTTTGGTTGTGCTACCAGGAATAAGGCAGAGTCTTCTTTGGCTCACAGATGCCTTGATGTCTCTGCCTTGGAATAATGGGATCTAGTTTGGCCTCTGAACTCCATAGAAGATACAGCATGACACAGAAGATCAAAGACTGTGGCAACCTCCACATATTGCAAAAGCACAAGCTGGACTGAAACAGGTTCCTGTACCATTCCTTTCTCCCCACCAAAAAGTCTGGAAAGTACATCCAAAAGGAGTCTGTATAGATGTGACCCTGTATGACTATTTCCACTTCACCATTTTTGTTCAGTGTAGCATAAAGAAATGGGTGAATGTGGCTAAGAAAAAGGTGAACAAGGAAAACAAAATCCCCAAACTATGTAAACAATAAGATGACTTCTGCAGGTCTATCCCACTGATGCTGCAGGAGTCATGTCACCAGAGGGTTTCCCTCATCTGGGCATCTCATTCCAGATAAGATATTTACATTCTGGTTTCTTTCCTATACCCGCTGTGCAGCAAAGTGCATTCTCCAAGAATCACCTTGTTATCGGGTGATAATCCTTCATCAAGCAGCAGTGTTTGCTACATGCTCTGAGTCCACAGCAGCCCTTCTTCTGCAGAGGTGAAGAAGAAGAAATAGAAAAAAACCAGGCCAAGTGCCAACCAGTAGGCAGCTGGAAACTGCCCTGAACTCTGTCCTCATTTCCACTGTCTCACAGAAACAGAACTTTGTAGACCAGATACTTGGAGTGCTGATCATGCAATAGGGTGAGTAAGACACCTGATCTCACACCCTGCTTTGTAACCCTCCCCACTGCTCCCTAAGCATCCTCTAGCATGCTGATTTTCACCCAGCTCTTTCCCTTCTCACAGACAAGGATCAATGAACCTATTTTTGTGGCATCTTCGGCAGAGGAATCTCTGATTACCCTGAAAAGTGTCTTTGGGAGTCTTCAAGAATGCTCAGTCCAGCAAGCGACCCCAAAATCTCACCGCTGGTCCAAGCAAGCCCTTTGAAGATGGTCAAAAGCATTGCCAGTGAACCCATGGTCACTGAGACAGCACCTGAAGCTTTTTTAATCCTGCTTCCATCAAGAGGATTTCTCAGGAGCTGAGCATCCCTGGGTTACATGCCAGCTCTGAGCTTTGTTTCAACCCAAATATTATTATTCCTGAAGACACCATGCTTTGCAAAAGCTCAGTACATGGATCTCCCTGCTGTGCATTTTTATACGGGTGCCTCAACATTTGTTTTGAGAACTATCCTGTTCCAACAGCAAACATAAAGATCAGTGTGACCTCTCCTTATCGCACAGCCTTTCCTGTGTGGAATTCATTGTGATCTGGGCCCTAGTGACTATTGCATCATTTCTGCTTATTTGTAACCTTTGGCACTGCACAATCTTATCTGCCTGCAGCCGGCTGCAGCAGAAGATGTGCAGCAACACAGCCAGCTTTGGCAACCCTCAAACACTGGAAAGGGCCAGTTAAGAGTGGAGGTCAGTAAATGATTAGCAAAGCAAATCTGCAATCACTGACAGCTACGCAGACATCAGCTCGCTCGCTCACCCCACAGCAGGTGAGGCCTGGCTTTTCTCCAGCTCTACTCACCAATTACGATCAGGGTGTAGTTCACGTTGGTGCTGCCGAAGCCGTTGGTGGCTTTGCAAATGTAGGTTCCCGCATCTTCGCTTTCCACCTCCTTGATTTTCAGCCCTTGCTGAAGGATCCGGAACCTTGTCCAGCCGCTGTGGATAGTCCGTCCATCCTTCATCCACATGGTGAGGGGAGGGGGGTCGCCTTCCACCGGGCACAGGAGCTTGATGGTCCTCCCCAGCCTCACGGACTGGCGGTGAATCACTTTATCGGCAATCCTTGGGGGGCCTAAGAAAGAACAGAGAGAGGAAGAGCTGTCATGACTTTTGCCAGTGATACAGCACTGATTCAAAGCCAAGTCATCAGTCAGGCCACTGGCTGCTATACAGAGATACAGTAAGAGGTGCTAACCGAAAATCACTTACAACCAAGGCTAAAAATGCAGGCAATTACAGAGGGATACAACAACAGAGATACTGGTTTGTGCAAGACCTGAAGCTGCAGCCTTGCCATCAGCAGCAGCTCAAGCTAACCACCTAAGGAAGCCTGATTCTCAGGCTCTCCTGCTTTTCCAAAATTTCCAGCATTTTCCTATCGCAAGAAGGAGTCCAATACCCAAACTGTTCCGCTGTATTTGGTAAAGAAATTGTAGTTGTTTCAAATTTAACACCTATCCTGAAGGCAAAATTAGTAACAGGACTGGTACTTAAAACAAAACACTGCCCCCCCCCCAATGTTATAATCCTTTCATGTTGTATGTACAGTAATTCCCTTTAATAGTCACCAGATGGGCTTTATCTGAGACACATAAGCCTGCAGTTGTTGGACACAGAGCATTCAGCAGGTAGTGCTTCACTCAAAGATCCAGTTTAGCCTGACATCTTAACACTGTTTATAGTCCAAAAGAGGATATTTTTATAAATGGCCTTAGCAACCCTGCTGGTTTGACCTGCCTGGCAAATATTTGCTCTTTGCAAAAGGTGATAATTTCATGCAAAGCAGAGTGTCCCTGGAATGCCACAGAGTGAACACACTGCTTACCACATGATAACAGGATGCACTTGGACAGGCCAACATTCAGAAAAGAGAAGTGATAAAGATTCCAACAGTGGGATGGCCCCATAGCTGAATTCCAACCAGAATTCCTTCCTAAGGCTCTGAAAAGTTGAAACAGAGAGCCTTTTTCCTGCATCTGCCTTTTCTGCCGTTTTATTAATTGCACAAGTTCCTCACACAGACTGCAATAGCAATGCTCTTCCCAGAATAGTCTATTAATGGGTGTGATAATAAGTGTCCTGTTCTTGCATAAGGACAAAATGTTTTGCTAAGGATTGCTGATGCTGAGTTGCACCCAAAACCCACAAGATGTTTGTGGGATTTGGAACTGTTCCCTCATATTTTACTCCTGTTTCTAGTTTTTTGCAGGATTGGACCCACAGGGGATAAGCTACAGAGCTCATATTTGCACTTCCTCATGACTAATTCCTATTATTCCAAAGTCTGCCTGATTTTTCCCCAGCATGACTAAGGCAGTACATACAGTACAGCTCATGAATGACTACAGAGCTACTGTCGCAGTTACTCATGTTGAATCGCACCCATAAATTTCACAGCTTTGCTGCTGAACAGAAATGCAGCTCAAGCTGAGAAAAGAGTTGTGAACTAGGTTGAAACTCATTAATGAGTTTAACTGGGTAAATCAATGGGTCTTAGAAACACACAGATTCTGATGAACTTCTGATGACCCAAAGTGGGGATCTTGAGAGCACTTTTTCAGAAAAAGTCAGTCCCTGGCAAAGAGAACACCCACCACTGCACATCTTCTGCAGGGCCCTGTGAGACATCATCTGAGCCAATGGTGTCTTCCCAGACTCCAAGGGAACTGGCAAAACAACCATGAGAAATCCAATCCTGCCTTTCCAAGTCTTTCAAAGCACTCCAAACCACACTGTTAATGTTCTTCACCTTGGGAGACCTCCAACCAACTCTGTGGTTGGAGAGATAATCTCAAGATCCTTCGAATGCTGGTCTGACAGGATTCGAAGGATCTTGAGATTATCTCTCCACACTGCTGAATCTTTTAAAGTGGAAATCCACCCATCAGGAGGGGCCGTGTGTATTTGCTTGGATAAAGTAGAATTCACCAGAATTGGGTGAGGATCCAGCCCCAAACGCAGCTACATTTCCCTACAGGGTGCAGTGTCTTGCTCAGCTCACAGGAGCTGAAATGCCCACAGACTTGTTGAAATTCTGGGTTGGCCTTTGGAGAGGTCCTTTCTGACCCAGAGCCCTACCAAGCCACATCAAATTTTAAGAGTAGCTTCACTGCAATCTGCTTGTGAGCCAGGATACTACTCCATGCATATTCAAATGACAAAAACAGATCTATAATTAGTGCTGGGGAAAAATGTTTGGTGCAGGGCAAGCAGGGACAGTGAGAAAGAGCACCCTCCTCACAGCTTGGAAACCTGCTGTAGCTCCTTCAAAATCCCTTTCCTTCCGACATTCAGGTTGACTCCTGATGAATTTTGAGACCTGGAGGAATCAGATAGTTTCCCAGTCACGTCATGTGCTTCTCTGGGTCAGGCTGCACGAGCAGAGTGGATCTGTCACATGTTTGGGTCAGCAGTAAGCTTGGTCCTCCTAAATGCCATTTTCCTTTGATTGACCTTTCGTTCTGAGGAATTGTTGGATCACTCTCTGTCACAGGATCTATTCGCAGACCTTTATGACATTTAGAAAAGGGTGCGTTTCTTAAAGCCTTTCTGCCTGAAAAGAAAAACACTAGCGCAGCCCTTCATTAGCTCCTTCAGTAACTTTCTTAGTAAGACGAATGAAAGTCTCCCCCACCGTTCTTTCTGCTGTGAATTTTGCCAGATACAGCATGCACTTCTTAGTAGGGTACAGCCCCAGGACAAAGATGCTAAAGCCTTGCTTCTGTTCATTTAGTGCTGTAAATACTCCCATTTTATTACCTATCATCTTTGCATTAATAACTTTCTGCTCAAGCAGTACTGTCTGGAATCAGCACCTTCACATGTGCCAGAGGCTTCAAAGGCCCTGGCAAGCCAGTGGTAGCTGGGCCTCCTAAAGCTGGGCTACAGCAAAAATAAAATGATATCATCACAGATCTCTGTCTCTCTTTCTCATATACAGGCATTCATTGGGTCTTATTTCACTACATATCTGTAGAGCCCTGTCTCAGGACTGCAGCAGTGATGAATGAATGCTTTTCCAGTCAAGACACACTTTGGCGCATCTTGCCACTCTGTGCTGTCTGTTTTTGTAGGGGAGGCAGGGGAGAGGGGGAAGTGTGTTTTGCAGAAAGGCCCTTCTCCAGTATCCCCTGGGCAGCAGGTGCTACTGACACAGAGCTGCCTCGCATGAGGTACCACGGAAATCCCACACTATCCAGGCAACAACATCTTCCCCCTCTGAATCCATTCACTGAGCTGCCCAGCACCGCTCGGGTTCTCCTGGAGATTAATGTCCAGGGTTTCTCTATGCCAGTTCCATCTTTTGCTATATGAACAGAGCAAAAAAGGTGTAGTAAAAACATGCTGAGCCTCTAGTTTCCCACATGCAGCACTGGTACTGATGGGAGCTCCCTAGCTTCCAGAACTGGCCCATAATATGCCAGGGGGTGGCCAGGAGAGCAGAGTGCCCAGTAAGCTCTTCCAAGGCGCTGATTTGGGAGTGTCCCTGGTGTCTGATCCTGCAGGGCTGGGGCACTCACTGTGTGTGCTCACAGCTGAGTGCGGCAGTGTGGGAGCAGAGCCCAGGGCACAGCCCGGGGCCACCGGCTGGATACATTTCTACAGCTGCTTAGAGAGGCAGAATCCCAGGAAAGCACCTGCTGCTTCACCTACAGCTGCTAGTGAGGTAAAAACAGACTGAACCCTGGCTGTTGCTGCTGACTTCCCATCCCTCGCTGCTCTAACGCAGCAGTAAAAGACAGATGAAATTACTCCTCGAGCAGCCACTGTTACAACCTCTGCTGTCCTAGACTCCAGCTTTGTATTGTGTGAGAGCAGAAAAGATCTAATGTATTTTGAGAGCAACACCCTCTGGCTGCTCCCTATAGCACTGCCCTTGCCTTGTTTGTGGGCAGGGCAAGAACTGGAGAGCAATGGCATAAGGGATCATTCTGAAACCTGAAAACATTTTGTTAAATCAGACTGTTAAAATTGTGACTTCGTATATTTACCAATGCAAAATTAATGCTAATATATACCATCTCTCTGGCTGGGGTGGGGATCCTGTGAATTGCCATGTGCTTGCAGCTGTGGGCCAAAGCTCCAGATTGGATCCTTTCAAGACAGAGTAGCAGAAAGCAGTGCTCTCTGGTCCTGAGTGTAAATCCTGGGGAAGGAGTCCCTATGTCATGCTCCCCCTCATTTCTTAACCATTAGGCAGCAATTCTTGAAAACATCAGCCTTTTTAAGTGCTGAGAATCTTCAATCTGTGATGCTCTTGGACATAGAAATTACTTCTTCCAGCATTTTTCCATAGGATGTGGGAGAAAAGGACAAAAGCAAGGCCCTAGGTAGATATTTCATCCAAATTACTGACACATACATTTTCATAGTCAGGGAGTGGGGGGGGAATGGCAAGGAGAGAAAACAGTCACCATTCCTTGCTTTCACTCTTGCAGTTTTTCACCAGGCAAAGGCAGCTCTATAGCCACAGGGCACTTCTTTTAAGCCCCACCACGGAGGAGAGGGCCCAGCTGGCTCCACAGCCTGTGCGAACAGAAGGAGCTCTTACAGTAGGTTAAGCCCCACTTCGACACAAGCCCAGTGGGGGAAGGTTTTCTTCAGCCCCTCTTGTCCTCAACCCAATAGTCTGAGGGAATCATTCCTTAATACTTTGGCTGAGGGGGAAGGGTGGGGTTTGACATCCGCGGATGTGACTTGGGAAGAAGTGACGAGAATGCAGCTGCCTCCCCCCCGTGCTTGGTTGTTATTTTTTTCTCCAAACACAAACTAAATATAACTTTGCCCCATAACATTCAAATCATTTTAGTTACTAGAAGGGATCGTGCCTGGAGTTCCAAGGGCCAGGGTGCAATCAGGCTTAAAATATAATTTAAACAACCCAGAACCTACATTTTCCACCAAGTTATTTTCTTGCTTGTACTTTCCCCATCTGCAAATACATATAAACACACCCAGAAAGAAACCAACAAGCCCAGCCAGATGCCAAGTTTTCTGCTCAAGATCATATAAACTCAGTCAAACATTAACAAGGAAATGCCACGATCACTTCATTTGTTTTAAGTATTTCTG